ATATATATATATATATATATATATATATATATATATATATATATATATATTGGTTTCGTTCTTTAACTCAACAGATTTATAGCACGGAAGGTTTTATGATTATTCTCCTGATTATTAACCTTAAAGCTGATAGAGATTTCCTAACCATATACGAAGCTTATTTATCGCTCCCAGTCGTATACTTCCATGACAAATTATTTTGTAGGAAATAATGAAACCGTCGTTTTCAATAAGTTACAAATTGGCATGATTTTACCTGGGATTTTAAAATGTTTGAATTGACTAAATGCATCTATTTTCAAGCGAATACTGATGAAGTGTTTTGCTCACTTACCTGAGTTATTTGTAAACATATGACAAATGAGTTCCTGCTGAATAATCTAAAGAAAATTAAAACAAAGAACGATCGATACCTGCTCAAAAAAAATCTTGATACCGGAAATTCTGTTACAATTGATTTTTTCTCTCATAATTCCCCGAACTTCAGTAAGGGACAGGAAATACCCATGTACTAATAACGCACGCATTTTTCGGTGTTCAATTTATTCATTAACTTTTGTAGTCAGTTTCCAAAAATGACCGCCAAATCTGTTAGTAACTGCTATGTCCTCCCGTCCCTGAAGCATTAGTATTGATTTTCTTTTCTTCAGGAATTTCAGTTTGCAATTTGGTTAATAATTTGTTCTAGATTATAATTATTTTGGTATCAGCTAGTGCATCTGATCTTTTGGCGTTCTGTTTATTATTGTTTGATTAAAGTTCCATAAATCCCAGAAGTTTTGCGTTAGATTAGATTCTAGATTCATATTATTTATTTTCCTGTTAAGTATTCATCGTATTCAATCACCTTTAGTAAATTTACTATTTGGCAATGAAACTGCATAAGCTTCAACTTACGTTGAACTTTGAGGCAGTGACTCTCTTTAGTGCTTTGGATAAGTGCTGATTTTGTAAAAATAAAGTTAACTCTGACAGTCTTATTTTTTTCAGTTGCAGCAAATGTTTTAGGTAATGCAGTAAAATATGAATCGTACTTCTTGTTTTACCCATTAAAGCGTCATCAAGAGTGCTGCAGGCAGCTCATTGGCCTAATATAAATTCTCTTCAGAGACAACTGCGCATTTCGATCACAATAACTGTGACTGTTAGAGAGCCACACACATGGCGAGCCGTTCGGTTGACTTGATTCCTCTTTATTTACGAAGCCCTATCACGATGTCGGCGTGAATTGCAGTGTAATAAAAACTTGTTAACTTTAATGTGTAACACCTGAACAACGTTCTTGCCGTGAACTTGTATTTAACGGTGCGGTGACACGGCACCGATTTCGGAATTAAAACCACTCTGAGAAGATGTTGGTCATTCACAGGTTTACTAAAAATTCAAGTTTTCAGGTGAAGTGCGTCTTAATCGCTTTTTCTAATTACCATTTTGTAGCTTATTTGTTCGTCGCATGCGACTATTTAAACCAAAGTTTTGACATTTCTCCGACCAGAAAAAAAACATTTTAATTTCACACACGTTCTAATCCAGGCTGTATACCAAACAAATTATACTTCAACAACCTTTATAAAAAAGCGAAAGCTTCATGATCTTTAAATCAGTAACACCACACAGTGTACACGTTTTCGTGGTCACTTATTTCATTATGGGTCATGGCTTCCCCCTGAAATCATTCCTTGATATGCTATTGGAGTTTTATATTAATTTTGGATCCACAGTATTTAAAATTAGAAAGAGGCCGAACACTTTTTCACTTGTTCAATTGCTCGTTACATTTATCTGCTGAATCTTTAAATTGTTCTCTTATCTGCTTGTCTGAGCTTATAATCCATTGCAGTGTTTACTTTGAGTAGAATAATGAATCACATTAGTTGTAAGTTTGTTGGTAAATCAGTATTTTGATACTTAGGTTATGAACAATTAAAACTATTGCTTTCTTACGGAGACCGAACGCCAAAAATAAAAAATAGCTGCTTGTTAAATCTTCAGATGTCAAACGCTTAGATTTCGAACCGGAATACTAAATGTTTGATACTGACTGAAAATTCTCCGTTGAAAGCAAAGTTTATTCATAAGAGTAGATAATGAAATCAGTTACCACGACACTGTTTGCTTCTGTGCAATTATATCAGCATTGCCGATGATGTATGTAGCGATAAACAGGTCTTACCTAAATGCCTCTTGATGACCTGTGTAAACTGCCTCTTCTAGTGAGATCCTAATCACTACTTTCTTTTGGCGGTGTCCGGTTTTTCTTAATCTGAGACTGCGAATATCCAACCTTTGCAGTTACAAGTGAGTTGGGAAATAACCGGTATCCCGGTCTTCTTGGGAGAGCTGGTAAAGCCTGGTTACGAAATAGTGTAAATGCAATTATATCATGCTTTTAGAAATAATAAATGCATATACATTTACCGGCTTAATTAAAAAGTTTAGTGTTGGTTACCGTAGACGTAAGAGACACTATCGCAATGTCCATAATGTGATCCGAAACACTGGAATATAACGACCATGAGCACGAAACACTGATCTTATTTCTTTTTTGCAATAAATCATTTCGGCGAAAGATACCGGTCAAGTTTCACAAAAGCCTACAACAGGAACACCTGATGGAGACAAATAAAAACGCATTGAATCGGTTCACTTTGGATTTTTGTTTGCCTGTGACCTGCAAAGCACTCACATCGTGACCACCATTTCATAACTTAAGTTCTCGAAATTTCCTCTCATATTCTACCAGATTTGTGCAGAGTAAGAGTCATCCATCTGAATTTGTGCGTTTCAACAGGTTGTAGTGCGTATACAACACCAGTTTCTATCAAAAGTTTTCAATCTTCTGCCTGAAGCTTTGAAAAACGATTAATCAAAATCTGTTGAAGATATGCTTACATACAAAGACCAGCTTTTGCGAATGAGAATACCCTTTTGATTTTAATTTCAGTCCTAATAATCTGTCTGTCTCTTGTTAACACGTACTTCAGATAATAAACCAACAGTATGCCACGTGTTGCTGTTCTTTCTCGATTGCATAATGGACTCGCACTGAACACATCGTAATGAACTTCGAATAATAGTATTGTGTTCGAAAAAATTGATACTTCACCCCAAGTTCTGTGAATTCTGACCGCGCATTAGTCTATTCCGGGCTCTTCCTGAGTTCAAAATGCTTGCCCTCACTTCAGTTGCATGTTGAAAGAGTATCTCAATCTACGTAATTACTTGTTGTACGAAATCAGTGATTATCTTTATATCTCTAAAGGTATCAAATAATGATAGAACCAACCATAGAGATATGTGGTTGATCACGTTCAGCACATATATTCCTGATGTTAGTCTTACTCCACAGCTTATATAGGTACACTTTGTTATAAGTTTTATATGAACGACTGGGAAAACATTTTCCTGGAAACACATGACCGGTTTTGCGGTGATGTCCTCTCTTCCGTCATGCGTGTCCGAGAACCTTTCGTATAGACGTTCATATACTGGAACCCCGGATACATAGTTTTTGTCGCATCTCTGATCGGTAACACGAAGCATAATTCTCCTGGACATGCTTTTTAAGACGGCCTTTTGATGAAATAAAGTGATTATTCGAAACAGTATTTCGAACATCATGTCCACAAATCTGCGTCCCGAGTTGCTGATTAAAGATATATATATATATATATATATGTATATATACGGTAATACTTTTGCAGTATTGCGACGGTTATTTCGATTACCTTATCTCCGATTGATTAGTTGATCATCTTTGTCCCTCTGCGTTATGCTTCTTTCTGTCTACTCATTGATAAAATTGTTGAACGGCGTTGGGCAACTTTCTACAGAGCTGATTTGCTATTATTTCAATTTAATTCTCGCAGACAAACGTTTGCTTATTCTGTCAACCATACACTCGGGAAGCAGTGAAGCAGCGGGTGGTGTTGGCCAATTGGTTAGGTCACCAAGTAGTGACCTGGGTGTCCCGGGTTCAAACTGCTCCACTGCCGCCTGTGTTCCCTATATCTGTATTTTCCCCACGCAGTCTTTGTATGGCCGCAACCCCTTCCTGAAAGTTGACGGTAAATTTGTATATTCAATAAATAGAAAAAGGAAGTAAAAAGACTAACTCGAGTTTCATTGTGCTCAAATCTCTTTAGTGGTGCATTTCCACATCCCTATCTTGGATTTGATTATTGGACTGCAGGCATTGGGTATTACAACTGCGCCAACCACTTCCTGCTGGGGCTAGATGAAAGTACCGAGTTGAGTCTATTTAGAGGTCACTTCTATAGATGCCCATTTGCTTACCGGACAGCTTTGGAGGGAGATGAATTATGCCTTCCCATCAAAAGCCTCCCAACAACTCAGGACCTCCAGGAGGCTGAGGTTACACGTGCCCAAATAATTTTGCTAGCCAAAATATGATTGCATTTTAACTCTCAGCCATTTGCAATCAGTGGTTCAAAAGGAATGTTGCTGATTTTGTCGTAGACAGTCGAACCCGTGCATTTGCTCATTATCCGTGCAACCTTAGTCTTCGTGATTGCTCTATTTTTGCTTCGACGCCGACTTAAACATTCCAATCTTTCCTTTACTCCTCCGTCCAGACGGGTAGTCATGAGACAGCAAATAAAACCAGTGCAAGAAAGGGCATGCTAGCGGTTGGAAAAACTAAAAACCGAACTGAAACTGATCATTTTTCAATCTTGATTTTTACACACAATCCTCACTCATTGCAGTCAATCGGAAATCGTTACAAACCTGTATAAAATGCTATTGTTTGGGATGTTTGTGGTTAACCAAAAGATACTCATGGACACCGTTGAATCGGTACACAGTTTACTTGCTTATATTTCTTACAGGTGAATCTCTATTCCGGATCTTTATTCCTCACCGAAGCGCTGCGATGGAACATATGGATTTCAATCATTTTTCTTCTGGCTCTCACTTCTTTAATCACTGTCACAGGTGAGCATGCGCAAACTGAGTGCGTTTTGTTTCACAGACTGCAATATTCGTTGTGTTTTCTTCGGTGGCGTGCAAATTGTGTACGGGGATGTCGTGATCAATCGATCTTAACCGAGGTTAGTGAACATGGGACCTAGACAACGATGCCTGTATGTGACACATTTTCCTGACAACTCACCGAAGAACGATATACATGTACCAAAATTGTCTTAGATCGGAAACTTGGGATGACACTGTGGGCACGCTTGATCAGAAAGCATCGACATCGTCTCAGGTATAACCACCGGAACAAATATGACAGTTTTAAATTTAAACCATTTGGACTCTATAAACCCCTTACTTTAAAAGCCTTGCTATTACTATCTATTCTACGTGCTTACTTACAGCTGTCTGATGAGTGAAATCCTCTCCCACTAGCTTGTAATCAAATATCTCTGCAGATTTCTCGCTTTAAACACTTGCAGAAATAGAAATACCACAAAAGGTGTAAATAAAGTGCATTCGCAGTTGATATAATTTATTAAATAATTAGTAACATAACTGATTTATTGAATTAATGTTTAAAATTGTCAACCTTATCAGATGTTACCCTTAAGTAACGGTGGACGTTTACGTGATGAGTTGCCATACAGTGAAAATGCGAGTGTCCATTAGTTATCAGAAAGACTGAAAATGATTTAGGAACGGTTAGTTCACCCATTAATGGTTCTTTTTTTAAATATATTTAGTATAATGTCGTGTCATAGAAAAAGAAATTCTATTGGAGAGCAAATAATTCGTTCGCATTGCATACTGAGAATATAGATCTGAAGAAGTCTCGTCATCAATTGAGTGAATATCCGCTGCCAGTTTAGCTGTCAATTTTGTCATGTGGTTATAAAGGAAAGTGAAGAAAAATACTGTATTCCTAGAAAGTGCATACGCTTAAAACCCTAATAAAGTTCCATGCGAACATTCTGTTTAAATGAGCCAAAACTGGTGATAGATGGAAAAACACATTTGAAAACCATCTGGAGGTTCACTGGGTATTTGCCTCGCAATGTCATTATATATATATATATATATATATATATCATTATATATTGGGAGATGCAAGCAATTTAAATAATAGAAGCTCCGGTGAACAAAAGTGGCTGATTAGTGCTCCTGTCCACGATAATGTCAGTATTGTGATCCGTGGTAAAAATAACTTGGGGAGAA